TCTACATCTTCAATTTTGATACCTTTCTTGATTTGTTCGTTTATTAGTATTGATAGTCCTCCACCTGGCTGTTTACTTCTTATTATTGAGTGACTGTAGTATCCTGGTATGTTGAGTGTATTCAGAGAGTCCTTGTTCAGCCAGGTTTCCCCAAGACCTATTATATCATGGTTTTCTATGCATTTTATGAAGTCATTATCTTCTATTTTTTGTCTTATACCCTGTACATTCCAATATGATATGGAGATTCCTCGTTTTCCAATCTGTTTATGGTGTTTTGGTTTCATTGTGTAACACATCTTAAGTTCTTTAAGTTCTTAATATGTATAATGTATGTACCAAATTTGAACAAAGTAAAGCATGTGCAGGATACAACATTTTCATAAAACCAAATGGCTGCCAATCAACCATCTTGGTTCAAATCGTTAAACCACTGCATGTCCCACATTAAAGTACTAGGCACATGCAAATAATGAACGAATCCAGTTCAGAGGGTTATGAAATGTAATTTCAGGTGGACGGATCAAAACCGAATTATAAGTGCAAGTTTTGAACTTTGTTCCAACGAGGACTAACAAATATTAGAAATGTACATGTTTAGTCATTGTAAGTGCATTTGTCATGTCATCAGTTTGAATCATACTTATAATATATAATGTGAATTGATGTATACCGGTACTTTCACTCAGGTGATTATCACTGCTGGTGGACATGAACTTGTCTCTGAAAGCAAACTTTGTAGTTTGTTCTGAATGATATCATTATGCGGAATATATTGTGTACTTCGTTTCTGACATCAGAGATTCAGACTGCACCTGTACATCTTCAATCTGCCTTTTTGGGGCAGTGCATTATAGCCTAACATGAATGTGTCTGCTTTCAGTGGTGAGAGTAATTACCCTTGTGTGTTTATATTTTTGTCTGTCTCTCTAATTCAAATTACATGATTCTGTTTCCTTATGTAATATGGCAGATGTGACACACCAGTGGTAATTATGGGAGAGACTGGATGTGGAAAAACAAGACTTGTTAAATACCTTTGTGCACTGATGGGTGGTAGGAAGAGACCGCGAAACTTCATGGTTATGAAAGTATGTTCGCCATGTTAAAACTATATAGAAATCGAAAACATTAAAAGTTTGGAGCTTTGCAGTTTGTTATTGTATCCTTTATTCCATTATAATTATACACAGGTTCACGGCGGTACAACTTCCAATAATATTGTTGAGAAAGTGAAAGAAGCAGAGAAGCTTGCTGAAGAAAATGAAGGCAATTTTGGAATTGATACTGTATTATTCTTTGACGAAGCCAACACAACTGATGCCCTTGGCGTCATTAAAGAGATAATGACAGACTCTACACTAGAAGGACGCCCTCTTTCCACTAAGAGCCTTAAGTTTGTTGCAGCTTGCAACCCTTATAGAAAACACACTGAAGAAGCGATTAAAACACTTGAAGCTGCTGGCTTAGGATTTAGAGTGCATGCAGATGATTCAGAGGAAAAAATGGGTATGAATTACATTTATTTGAAATATAATCAATTTGTGTTTACAATATGGTATTGATTATATGTTAGTTTTGACATATGATTCATCTTCTCTAGAAGCAATAATTGGTTAGCTCCATCTCATAATGACCAGGACATTGTTCTTGAAAACAAGAACTACTACAATGTGTGAATCTCTGTCTCATACAGGTACAATTCCAATGCGACATCTTGTATACCGTGTGCAACAGTTGCCACCACGACTTATGTCATTTGTGTGGGACTTTGGACAACTTAGTGATGAAGTTGAACAAGCATACATAGCGAGTATCGTAAAAAACAATGTAAGTAATATATCATTTCTACATTTACTTCCAATTTATATCTATCATAAATAGTTTAGTTGTACATAATATTAGAAGGTTATTTTGCCCAGCTGCTTATTGTATGAGACAATTATTATATTTATGCATTTATTATATTTATTATTATATTTATGCATGATGTATTATATGTATTACAGCTTATGAATAGCATTAACAGAGACAAATCAATGATTGCTATTGAGAGATTCCTCTTAATCACAGTGCTGTCAGCCTCACAACGTTTCATGAGAAGTGAAAACGTGAGTAGTTTTCTTACATGTTAATGTGTGTGTTGTTAGTGAGTGGATAATTGAGTGGGTGAGTCGGTGAGTGAGTCGGTGGGTGAGTCGGTGGGTGAGTCGGTGAGTGAGTCGGTGGGTGAGTCGGTGAGTGAGTCGGTGAGTGAGTGCCAAGTTCCTTTATGCGCAGCCTAACATGACATATTAATCCAATCTCAATGTTTCCAGGACGAGTGTAGATTTGTTAGTCTTAGAGATATTGAACGTACAGTGATTGTTTATAAATGGTTTGTTGAGCATTACGAACTGTTTGCATCTGAAATGTATAGAAAGGAACAAGAACAACGCAATGTACCGGTATTTACAACTTTCATGGGTCGTCAACATAAGGTTAGTAATCATTATACTACTGCATGGTAGTTTATGAACAAGAACTATTATGCCATTTTAAACTGTAGTTTAACTGCTTTATAGTCTTGGTTTGTACTAGTCCAAATTATAGCTATTGCTATGGATTGTTCAACTCATGTTGACTAAACTCATTTAATGAAACACAGTACATAATTTATAACATGTGCACCCCCATTTATTCGATTCAGTTTAGTGCCCTTCTGCTGTTCTGGCATGCCTGATGACTAGGATGATTTCAATTAACTTGATGGTGTAATTGTACACTGTGTACTCTGCCAAATGACACATGAACTCCAATTTATCAATCATTGTTTAACAATAAAAGCTCTATTGGTACTGGGGGGGGGGGGGTAATTTCCCAAATTTGGCAACACAATTAATAACATTTGTAATACTTAATTTTCAAAGATAAATACAAAGATAAGAAGATGTATAATACTTGCGTTGGGAGTGTGTTATCATGCATGTCTGACTAACCGACTCAAATACAGAGAACACATTGCCAAATCTCTTGAAGATAAACATTTATTACCAGAAGGACAACTAACTATACAAAAGGAAATATCGTGGTATGTAACTGAGTGTATAATAAATAAGTGTCTAACGTAATACAAGTTTCTTTATTTTACATTGCATTATTTTAAATATATTAATTTGTTTTGTTATTTAATCAAAGGTTCATATTTCTATGAAAAGTTGCATATAATCCACAGATAATTTGGATTTGTATGATATAGTTTGCTGCTGTTATACACATTGAACAAATGTGTACATGTATGGTCTATAATCATATGTAATTTTGTATTTTATCAGGTGTCAAGACATATTTGTGGACTCAATCAAATTGAACCCTAATATAGCACGAAATGAGGCATTGAAGGAAAATGTGTTTATGATAACAGTTTGTCTACAATTAAAAATTCCTATATTTGTCGTTGGAAAACCTGGAAGCTCCAAATCACTTGCAAAGACAATTGTAGATAACAATATGAAGGGGAAGAGTTCATCTTCTAACCTATTCCGAAAAATGAAAGGGGTGCGTATCAGCTAAAGTTTTGTCGGTTGTTTGTCTAATTTATATTGTGACAGTAACATTATCAGTCACATGATCATTTCCATCACAATTTTCTTCATTAGGCACAGATGTGGTCTTGTCAATGCAGCCAGCATTCAACTCCAGAAAATATTATAGAGACTTTCGATCATTGCGCTGCTTTCCAGAAACAGCAATGCCAAGATGACAACCCAACAGGTGGTGATCAGGATGAAAATATGGGTGTTGTTGTGCTTGATGAGGTCGGCCTGGCTGAAGATTCTCCTCTTATGCCATTGAAGGTGTGTATTGGTATAACTTTTGTTAATTCATGATTAGTAGATGCTAGCTTATGGGCGAGGTGAAAAATTAATTTTATTTTATCTTTTTTACCTTGCCCGTACCATCAAAGATGGAAGGGAAAGGTATATTAAGGGAAAAATTGTGTCTGGCGTTGTCGTTGTTTAATAATTGTTATTGTGTGCATAATAACTTTACTAATTCTATTCTAAACTTCATCAAACTTGGTCACCTTATTCATCAGTATAAAGTCTTCCCTGAGTTTGAACAACAGATGTCCTGTATGAAAATATCATGCAAAAATTGAGAAAATCTGATAAAATATTTTGACTGTTTCTACTTGACTAATCACTGGTGATACACATCAAAGGTCACTGATCTCAGTGGAAATATGCATTGTTGTATGTGTT